TGTAATGCGACGATTATTACAATATTATATTATTATAATATTATATGACGTATTATGTACCTATGTGCGACCGAGAGAGATTTTTTTATTATACAATTTTTCTAAATACCATCACGCACAGGAATAATACACACTGTAGACGAACAACACAAGCAAATGATGAGAATGTACATTATTTGTAGGTAGGTACCTACACATAAACACATACACCGACACCGACACACACACACACACACACACACACACACACTTACACACACACGTGTTTACCTATTTCAATATATATATATATATATATATATTATGTACTATAGTATTGTTGTATGTATAATAATAATAATGTACAGTATTACAGTGAGTGTACATGAATAGTCAAATCATTCACCCGCCGCAGTGGTAGTCACCCGTGACGAGAGAGTGGGACAAAGAGAGAGAGAGAGAGAGAGAGAGAGAAAGAGAGAGTGATTTATAGAAGGTGTAAGAGACGTAATGAAAAAAAACACCACCCGCCGTCGAGACTCGTTGCAGGATAACAATTATAATTACTATTACCTACTGTCGGTTTGAAGAAACGGAAGCAAAAGAATGAGAGAAAACGATCGTCGTCGAACGAAGAGATGTCCTGTAAATGTATACAGACGAAAACAGGAAAATATTTGTATGCAGCGAGTACCTACTGTTCGTATAAAGGCGGGTTTCCACTATACACGTACTTGTTCACGTCTATACAAATCCTTTGCTGTGATTGGTTGGTTACATTAAGTTACCACACAATTAACCACGATACCGTGTTGTTGGACATAGCTGAACATTTTTCGTGTACACGGCAAAAGTGTATAGTGGAAACCCGCCTTAAATATTAAATGTATAATAATAAATATCATACGTGTACGGTAAATGAAAATCGTGAAAATATTATTAGGTATCGTACCTATGCGGATATGATGAGAGAGAGAGAGAGAGAGAGAGAGAGAGAGAGAGAGAGAGAGAGAGAGTGCGTGAGGGTTATTAAGTAGGCGAGTGAGCTAGCGCGATTCTGTTTGTTATTGTTTTGATCGTGTATTCGTGTGCGTGTCGTCGGTTGTAAATTCACGGACGATGAGGAGGAATGCGCGCGAAAGAGGGGTGTCACGGGTGGTCGGTTCATTAATGATAGTACACTGTTCACACACACACACACACTCACACACATACACTCATCTACACACGCAAACTAACAAATACACACAGACCCATATTGTTATATATATATATATATATATAATAATACATAAACAAGGAAAAAAGAGAACGATTATCTCACCACGACCTTGACGGTCGCGCCGCATACCAAACTCACCAGACACCGCAGCGTTCCCCGACCGACGTTAAAACTCGTCGCCGTCTTTCTCTTCAATGAACCACCTCAAGAACTCACACACGCGCACCCACACACCCACACACGCATGACACACGTAAACCACACGACCGTTGCAGAGCACAATAATAATAATATTGTGTGTAACGATGGTGGTAATAACAAGATGCACGCGTCGGTGCACCGACGACCGGCCCGGAGCGTAGTAAAACGCGTATGAATAAAAAAGTAATAAAAATAGTAAACATAATGATATTATTATTACTTCGCGGCGGCGCCACTCGCACGTAATTCCACAGGTGGTAGAGACCGTTTAGCGATATCCATCGGTATAATACATAAACCAGTGTCTAGCAATCGTTAACATTAATCATCAGGTACAATATTGTAGTCGTAATTCAGAAATATTCAAGTTTTTTACACGTCGTTATACAGCGGACGACATAAAATAAGTTTATATATATACAGTAATTTTTGCTGCTCTATAATGTGTTTAGGCTATAGGTAGGTCAGGAAGGTGTATCTTTATGTGGGTACTATGGACTGGTACGAAACGGTTATTTGGCATAGCGGTCGAGCTACTTGCGTGTGTATTTGTTACGGGAGTACGGGACACATATTTCTATATAATAATGTGTATACTAATTTATTAGGTATAGTGTTATAGTAATAATTAGTAGTAAATAAGTGATTAGGTAACTTAAAATAATAATATTATATTGTTACAGCAGTAGAATATCGATAACTCAAATAGCTAACAAGATAATCAGGTATATGAAACATATTATTATGTACGAGTATATAATAATATCTACTCTACTCGCGGGTGTATAATATTATAATATGCAATATGCATAGACAGTGAAGGACACGATATTATTACATTGTCATCAAAGTACTACAATTCGGCATAAACGCTGATGAGATTTGACGAGAATTTGATTTGTATAGGTTGTTGATACCTATCAATTATTATTTCTGTTCAAGTGCTTTTGTGCTATCGATATTCTACCGCGGAGTTTTATATGAAAGTCCAATTAAGAGATAAAGATAGAATATAATTACTTACTTTGGCCATCAACTTTGCATCGCCTAAATTTATACACATCATAATAATATTGTGTCATCAAATGCCGTACGCAAACGTATATTATTTAGAGTAAATATTGCAGTATGATCTCTTAGGACGTTCACTCGTTAAGATAATTCACATCAAGTCACAAATCGTATATTTTTAATTTATGCACATACAAATGAACATAGGTGTTGATAACAACAAAACATAAACATTTGAATTGCAACACAAATGATAAAATGATCCATGATTACGATCTATAGATCTATATATAGTTGCGTTTCGTGATGTTTTTCCTCCAAAAAAATAAAATACCTAATATATTATTACGTGTGAGTTTGAAATTAAATTGAAACCGTGGTATTAGCGGTCTATTGTTTTAATATTATGGTATTTAAAAAAACAGAAATATAACGAAGTGAATAATCACTATATGTATATAGGTATACAGTAGCAGTCGAATGATTTTGTCATAGGGGGGAGGGGGGGTCGGATTTCTTTTTTAGCACTATTTGATCATTAACAATATAATTTATGGTTATATTTGATCATAAATATTGAAAAAAAGGTATGGAATTTTATTTCTCGGACTTCAGAAGAAAAACAAGAATATATGTATCGAATAAAACGCGTTTTATTGATTGCGGTATGGTTATCCAGTAATCGGTATAAAATATAATTCTTGTTCGACAAAATAACAACGGACTTCAACGGTAAGTACCTATAGGCATAAGGCATTATATAATATAATATGTGGGAGGGGGGCACCTATACGTTAGTTATGTTATTAATTGACCACATATACAAACGTTTGTCTTTAAACGAGTCGATAAAACGACAATGTATAGATTAAAATTCACTGGAACGGTAGGGTGTAATATCAAAATTAACTTCAGATGAATCATAGGCGCAAATTGACTAAATTTTTTGGGGGGACTCAGGCCCCCCTCCCCATAAGCCATATTGCTTAGTACCACAGAATATAAAAATTAGTACTAATTACTAGATTTTTAACTGGGGGGACTTGACCGACATTTGGGGGGGTACTAAGTCCCCCCAAGCCCCCCCCCCACCCTATTTGCACCAATGAGATGAATATTATACGCGAATGCTAATGGATATAAATAGATCATGTTACCTATGTAAAATATACATACATACATACTTATTGTGCAGTAATAACTATACCCAAAGTTATTGTGATAATAGTAATAATGATAATTGATAAGTGATAATCATAGTCATATATTGTGCTTAAATGCTTAAGCCTGATAAATATATAATATATACAAAACGATAACAGCTGAAAAGGGTTTTCTCGAGTATCCCGCGAATCATATTATCATGATAATCAAATTTTACAGCATTATTCATACAGTTAACACTGTTAAGTAACCAAAACATGGTTGATGACTTGTACAGTTTTAAGTACATATACATTATGCATACGCAATAAGTTCGCACACATAAAACAACGACGAATTGGCGCCGTTGTATTTAAGTGACACGCGCCGTAAGTCGCGATATTATTGTTGTATAATTTGAATTTGTTTTCTAGACATTTTTTCTTAGAAATATATAGTTATTACTCAATTTAGTAATCGGTGGAATTTTTTGAATATTTTTCTGCAATTACAGCTAGTATTTTTTAAGTTAATATATTTAAGTTTTGTACGAAGTGACCACATTTGAACAGTACGCAGTTTCAGCGTAATCAAAAAACGAGATATTATCATTCAAAAAAATCAATAAATTATAATAATAAAAAAAACCTTATAATTATAGGGAACGATAATATAACACACGGTGTTATAGTTGAAAATTAAGCTGGACCGCGTGGAACAATTAGTTTTATATCCGACGGACGAGAAAATTATTATTAGTACACGCCTGCTGTGATTATTACAGATGAAAATGAATTGAACTGCGAGGGCACAGGCCAAAAATAATTATTATAGAATAGGTATATCGATAAAAATAACGGTGGAATGATTATATTATTGTTTAAGATTGGGTCGGAAAATTGAGTACAAAACGAGTAAAATAAAATGGTTTTTGTAACGAATTTATATTTGTGGAGCGATGGATAAAAATACGATAATATAGACTACCTATAGGTAGATCGTGTTAATTAAAAATGAAAAAGAACAAATAATAAACATTTACGAGTGACATAGGTACCTATTTAAGTGCGATTTGAGAGTTATTATTTTTTTCAAGGTTTTTTTTATTATTTTAATTTACTCCAAAGTACCGGACACGGATGATTACAATATTTTACACCTAAATAAACTATATAGGTACATTACATACAAATACCTATCTTATATTAACTTAAAAATAAAAACTACTAATTACTGCTATAATATCCTCTTCACATTATATTATTATTATTATTACCATTATTATTATTATTATTGTTGACGATTAGTTTAGTGAAATTGTGAAATATTAGATAAAATGAATGATAAAAAAATAATAAAACAACAATAACAATGATAATGGTAATCTAATAATAGTCTTTTTTGTGTAATTACTAATTACTAATAAGGTTATATAATTTCTTACCATGGATATGATTGCCTTGTTCTTGTCCTGGTGGAAACTCTTGGGGGAGTTCACTGGGTCTTGCCAATATGGGGACTGCGATAGCCAGCAACATGAATAATCTTGCCGGGAACGCCATCGTGTTGCGGTTCCGCCGAGAAAATAACGTAATGCGAACCATAAACCGTAATTATGATTAGAAACGAAATGCACGAAATTATATCGAACGCAACGAGCACGGAAGAAAAGTCAGTGACGGAGGGGAAAATGTCCACGGATCGCCGAGGGACAACGCATAAGTTAGACCGGACACACGGGGAGCACGGAATGAGTCTTGTTCAGCTCTGTGCTTGCCTTTTTATAGGCCACCGCGGCGGCATTCGTGGAGTTGGTTCCCACCACCGGTTGCTGTACGAAGGTGCAACAGGCGCGCACTTACAGGAGCATGGGAGGACCTGCAATTCTATTGGACAGCACTCTCCTCTGACCTTTCCGCTCACCCATCGGCCAGCCAGCCCACCAAAACCACCTACCCACCCACCCGCCACCACAAAGAGCACACACCTATACACATGCGCACAGAAACATCTGCACGGCGACGGCGGCGGCGTTGTATTTCGAAAGCGCTAAATCGCGGCTAGAAATTTCGGACATGTATATTAAAATATAAGAAAATACGACGATAATTGAGAAGATGTTAATAGGTATAACAAAATGTGAATATTGCAATGATATTTCGAAACACGCGGCCGCAGTCTCGATCGTCACTCGAATATTCTAAATCTATAACATTATTATTTATATCGTGGTCGAAAATCGAAATAATAACACTCTTCCACTGCTCGAAGTCATCTTATTAAATATTATATTATTGGAAGCTATATTATATTTGCAGCCAAACACTTATAGGTTGGCGATTACTATAAATACATTCAATTATAAAGAATTATATACAGTGAACGATCGTCGAATAATATGATAAGATGCCTGCATTATATCGGTACCTATACATCCAACGAATATTTTTAATTTTTATAATCGTAGGTATACAGTCATACAGACCAGGGTGTTTTTTAGTGTGCAGTGAGACACATTTTGTGAAAAGTAATTGTACAATGTAAATTGTTACTCTGTGCAGTGCAAAGAAAGAATTTCAGGGTGATATATTTTATTGTATATTATAAAACAATAATTTAGTAAACTTCAAAATAAAAAAAAAAATGTTTTTATTAAAATTAAAATTTTTTTATATTATTCCTTATTATACTGTTTTTTTTCAATTTTAAAACAAAAAAAATATCTACCACCTTTAAGCACATGCTTGTGGTGGTGGTAGAGTGTTATATAAAATGATAACTAATATTAAAATTACAACAGTTAAATATATTTATTACTTATTATTTATTCAATTGCCTATTGGAAATAACCAAATCTGATTTTTTTTTTTCATTTCTATAGTTATAGTAATATGTATTTACTGACATTAAGTTGTAATTTTTTGGATCTAGATAATCTATGAATTTTTGACCAAACGCTTTTCTAGAATACTAGCTCCGTTTTGACATCAAATTCCCTATTTAGTATCTTCTCATTTAATTATATATACGATAGTTAGGTACCTACCTAGTCAATTGATTGTTTTTATTTTTATAAACTATCATTATTACAAATTACCTATTCCCAGTAAATTACTTATATTTACAAACAAAATTTAAATTATTATAATACGACAGTGTATGCATGTAGGTACAACAATATTGTGATATAATGTTATGTCGCCCGAAGACGATAATTTTTCGACGGTGCACGAAAACAGATGTCGTCTCAAACATAATATTGCTATTTGCTGCTGTGGCGTGTTCGCATTATTATAGGTAGTGTTTGAAGTATGAAATATTTCACAAAAATATGAAACATTGAAATTTTTTTTAACACAAATAAAAACACAATTTTTTTTTTTTTAACACAATGTTCAGTGTTCTAAATTCTAATGTAAGAATACAGTAGGTATATAATATACAATATACATGTATAATATTGTGTACCTACTTATATCATTTAAACATTAAAATATATAAAAATTTTGAATACCATTTTAAATGTATCATGATAAAGGTTATAGGTATACATACAGGTACCATACAGTAAGGTAATTTCTGACAATTATATGTAAATATATTACTTATTTAAGAATAAAACAAAATTTATTAAAATACTGAAATTTTTCACTATAGTTTGAAATATTTCAAATTTTAAATTTCATGACATTTTCAAACACTAATGATAGGTATATATTATATTATTATCTATTAATTATTAGCACACGATTCCTACTTATTAGCATTGTACATCGATTGTCGGCACACATGACCCATACTTTTATGGGTGGGTATTATATTATAATACTATGGTAGGTATAGTATAATAATAGTGTCGTTATATTACCAATACATAATAATGATTAAAAACTATATACGACTGGAACACTCGCGATACTATAGAGTGCCGCGGAAAACACGTTCATCGAAAAGCTTGAATTATATGCGAAATGTATATATTATACCAATACTGATTCTATAATGTTTGATTAAAGATAAACGTTTTAAAAAGTTGACGTTTTTTTACATTTTAGAGCGAGGAAGCTATACCTAGTGGTTTTACAATGGTGTTTTTTTTATCCCGTAAACAAAATGTCTACCAGAAGGAGTGCTTCGATTTAAACATAATATTATAGTATCTTATCTTTTAGCAAATTGGATTAAAATGATACTTTGGAGAGGTCATTTTTCGATTTTCTCAATAGTTATTTAATTATGCCACGGGAAAAACCACCGGCAAATTTCAAAAATTCGCTAAAACCGGGATTTCAATTTCTAACGCTTTGTTTATCTATTATCATCATATAAACGAATAAAAAATAATATTATAATATTAATTCAACTTAGGTACAGGCTATAATAAATAATAACATTATAAAATATTCATACTGACAAACCACCTCCGCTCAGAACTGTTTTTCTTATACAATTATATTATATCATTGAATTCATGTTTAATACAATCCATTATACATTGTAACCCGCCTGTAACCTACTGTACTGCAGAGCGACATCCACTTATTCGTTTTTTATACTTGTTAGGTTATTATACATGAAGTATAATATACTATTATAGTTTATTGGTCAGAGCTTAGATGCACCACATATATATTTTTATAATTTGTAGGTATTCCTTTATTTACGGCTATATCCAAAATCCAAAAGGCAAACATTTTTAATTTTAATTCATTATAAAATATTACATAATATGTATATATTATATAGGTACCCTTCAAATTTCAATCCGATACACATACGTCTCTGAATAAAATACATGTAGGTACCTATTAACTTTGATAAAGAAGTGAAAAAAAATGGTAAATAATTGGCCTGCTTAAAATTTAGCACCACGTGCCTTTAGAAAACTCAAATAATTGCGGTTCCTGCTATACCTTGGGGGTACGGCGGTCTATACAATTTTCGTATAGGTACATTCGAATATTCGATTTATATATAGTCTAACGCGTGGGGTCTAAAATAAATATCGTACATCACTGAGACGTGAAATTATAGGTAGGTTGTACTGTTGTAGGTATGATCATATTATTATAGTATAACATCATAATTCATAATATGGTACCCATACTTAGTGCTCGAATTGGGAAAAATTAAGTAGAGGAGCTCAAACCAAAGATTTAAAAACTGGGTTCCAAGGGCTCAATTATTCAACACAGACCCGTGGGGGGCTTTGCCCCCCCACCGTTCCTACCTTACACACATTTTGAATAACACTTTTCAGCAGCACATTTTGAATTCCAAATAGGTTAATATATTTTGATAGCAATATTTACATCTTACATTGTTATAGTGAAAAAAAAAATTTATAATGATATAACTGTTTATTCAATATTTGATATGAAAAATATTAGAATTCTTTATACAATTTTCATCAATTTTTTTTTTTTTTTATTCATGGTACAGCATCAACTGCTAAGGTTATTAGCTTGCAACAAAAATTGGTAATTAGTACATAATAGAGTATAGTTATACAATAAATTCTTAAACTAAATTATATATATCAATTTGTTTTAAAAATATGATTATTTTGTTGGTGTTGTCATGGATAGGGATGAGGGCTTCGATAATCATTAATTTTTACCTGTCAAATTGTATTTTATCAATCTGTTTTTTTAAATAAAAAAATTATATTACGAAATTTGCACTATATTAATATAATAGTATCTACTTAATTATTATATGACATTCGAGACGATGAAATCAGTCATGTGGAGCACCATAATATTATTATTGATTACATAATCGATCTAAAACTTTATGTTTTAATGTCGCCGCCGTTGTAGCCGAATGCTAATGTAGTGTCAAGCGTACTCGCAAGATGGCATTACAGTAAAAAAAAATATATTAAATTATATTACTATGCTGTGTGTGTGGTATGTATAATAGTACGTTGGTATGAAATATTAAGTGGTATTCCGCTTTAATCAAGGCGCTATAATATAATATGATTGTTATTATATTTTAACATAATATTATAATCCGATATCGCTTCGAAAACAAAAATCGCAAGACTTTGTAACGCGTTTATACAATTTTTATGAATATATGATACTATAAAATATCATTGGGAGACGGAGTGGCCGAGCAGACTAAGGCGTCGGTTGCGACGCAGCCGACGCTGGTTCGATACCTTGGTCATGGATGGCATTTTTCTACGGGCAAGTCACGGTGTCCGGAGAGCAGATGCCGCCATCCCCCACCCCGTCATGGCAGTACCTACGGGTACCCAAATCAAAATATCTGCCAAACAAACACACAAGTGTTCTTCCCCTACCTACAAAAAACCTACAAACAAAAACTAAAAATAGCTAATGGCCTTAGTTGCCGGGCTCAAGATCAATAAAAAAAAAAAATATGATTATTTGTCATCTATGTGTCATTGTGACACCTTGGTACACCACTAATACCAGTTAAAATATTAAACTAATAATTATGTGACACTGCAGTATAAATGCATACCTATACCCATATATTAAGTAAACTTCCTTATGACCTTTACAAATGAAATTTCGAAACCATTTATATTATCTGTTGAATATTTTTAAATAATTAACCACACTCAATG